CTGGGCAGACGGGTCTGCTCAGCTCCTCATGCCAGAGACACCAGTGGCCCTGAGGTGTCCCACCCGGTGGGCAGGGACCTCGGTGGCCCACACAGCCAGACACAGCCAGGGCAGGCGGGACTGGGAACCAGCCTCCCAGCCCAGGACCCGGTGCTGAGGCTGGGCACCGGGACACCCCGGCCTCTGACTGACACCTGGTCATCTGACACCGAGACCCCAGTGGGACTCAGCCAGCTCTCGGAGACAGGACCCAGACGGCAGCCTCCACCCTCAGCGTACCCCGGCCTGCGGTGAGGTCCCTGCACCTGGGGGCAGCACGGCCTCCAGCACACAGGGCTGGAACAGAGCCCCTCACACACCATGACCCCATCACCTGAGTGAAACAGAGGCCGTGGGGGCCGGGACGGCACCGCCCAGAGACGCACAGCATCCTGGCTCCTGGTGGGTGTGCACAGTGCAGGGGCCTCAGGGTGTGCTCTGGGTCTGGGCTCCCCGAAAGACCTTTCCCTTCAGGAAGCCATCAAGTGGAGGACAGGTCACTCTTGTGGGCAGGAAGCACTCCCGGCTCCTCCCTGGTCCTGGACGCTGTCAGCCTGCCCAGACTTTGTCCCTCTCCCAGGGCAGCTTCTGAACACCAGGCCTCCAGCACTCCTGGGCAGACCGCAGGGAGTCCTGGTCCTGGGCTTCTGGTGAGTGGTCCTTCCTACAAACTGTGGGGCCACCCCTCCTGTTGGAACTGGGTCCACTGGGGCCCACTGACTCATCCTCTCCTAGGCGGGCTGAGGCTCCTGCCGTTTACCATGGCCCTCCTAGGTCACCCTTTCCCAGGTCCTGTCCCGCGTTCCTTCAAGGAGAATCCCAGGAACTCAGCAGAAGAGGAGTGAGTGAGCCAGGCTCTGGACAAGATGGTGGGACAGAGCGGTACCTTGCTGGCCTGTTGCAGGGGCTCCTGTCTCCGGGTCAGAGCCCACAGAATAAGTCTTGAGCCTGGTGTTTCACCCCTAGAAGGCAAACGTGACTCCACATGGGACAGGAGTGGGCCCCACCAGGGCGGTGGACAGCTGTTTCTGGAAGGAATCCATGCACCAGGCAGGGGTTCAGACAAGCCACCCCAGTGGCACAGACTCCTCGAGCACCCTGGACAAGACAATAGAGGGTGGCTGAGCCCCCACCCCAAAGTCTGGGAGGGACCAGAGAGCATAGTGACAATGACCTTCTGGTGCCCCACCCAGACAGTAAGGACCAGCAGGTGGTCCCTTGGGGGTGACCAAGGTTTGAGGGCCAGGAACAGGGGACCTGGGCCAGAGCTCTGGGTCTGGAACGGCCACCAGCACCTGGGGAAAGTCAAGGCCGACTCCCACTGGTGTGACCCCCGGGGAGCAGCAGGGCCACACAGAACCGGGCACAGAGGCACAGCCTCCTCCAGGTCTGTGGGCCCTGACACCATCAGGTTACCCTCTCCCCTGTCAACCCAGGACCGTGACCCTCCCAGAGCCTGTAAGGACCTCACGGACGATGGGATGGGCCAGGGTGCGTGGGCAGGATGGCCGCCGCCCAGCGCCAGCTCTGTCCTGGGGCCCAGGGGTGAGGTGCCTCTCCTGGGGGCACAACTTCCCTGAAGATGGCCCGCCTGCCTGCTCCTGTCCCACCACCTCCTTCCCGACCCCGGCCCTCAGGCAGCTGCTCAGTAAGTGGACCTCAGCCCCAGGAGCTGCACCTCACCTGGCAGCCTGAGAGCTGGACGCTGCCCTGGGCCACTTTCTGTCCTACAGCCAGAGTAGTGGTCGGAGCCCAGGCCAGAGTTCCGCCCCTCGGCACAGCCCCGACGGAGACCAAAGTCCTCCCAGGCCTGCACTGGAGCTGGGGTGGCTTCCCCAGCTCGGCCTCCCACAGGCAGCCTCCCTCTTCCTCCAGGACAGCCTGCCCTGGCTCCTGAAGCTGCCTGGACCCACCCCAGGTGGGCGCCACCCCAGCACTGCCCGGGGCCTGCCCTCAGGGACTTCAGCACCAAAGGGGGCGGGAAGGAGTCTAGAGGAGACCAGGCCTGGACCAGGGCATCTGGCCTTTGACAGCATGGGACGAGGACAGATGACCATGTGTGCTTGCTGCAGGGGACCCCCATGGGGAGCTCATGGTGGGTGTTCAGGATGGCCAGAGGGAGGAGTCTGTCATGTCCCAGGGCAAACTGACCTCCGGTCACTGCCCCCCAACAGGTGGGATCCTCCAGCCTGCCTAGCCGTGCTGTGGGCAGACTCCTGGCCTCGGGGGCCTGCTCTCAGGACACTGCCTGTGTCCCAGGCCCCTGGCCAACCTCCCCAGCTCCGTTGCGTCTTAACGGCCAGGCTGGGCGCGAGAGTCGGGGACACCCAGGGACCCAAACGCCTGGGAGGCCACCCAGAGCAGCCCTTCCTCCCTCGGAGGTTGAGGGTGAACTACTCTGGACCATCTTAAACAGGGCCTTGGCCTGGTCCGGAGAACTGTTCTGGGCCCTGGTGGGGGCTGCTGGAGTCCGGACGGTCCCCTTTCCTCTGGGCCTCTGAGCCCCGGTGTCAGTGCCAGGGCAGGTGGAGGGAGGCATCTGAGGTCGCCTGCACAGGGAGGGGTCTGGGAGGCTTCTGAGGGGGCAGGTTGGGGTCAGCAGGGATCTGAGCAGGTCCAGAGTCCACGGGGGAGGGAGGAGCCATGAGGCGGGGCTGGGGGTGTCCCTGCCCCCAGGGTGGCTCCCAAGGCTAGATGCTGGGCGGCGCTGCATCCTCTTTCTCCTGTGCAGGCCTCGGTGGACAATGGGTTGCTGGGGGGAGGGGAGTGCAGAGGAGGGTGGAGCTGGGTGGAGTCCAGAGACAGTGGGTCTGACCTGGGGCTGGGGGACGCTCCACTGTGGCCCTATCTCATCTGTCACGTCAGGGTAAGCGTGAGCTCTGGTTCTGAAGAGTGTTGGAGGAGCATCCAGGGCTGTGGAGGCTGAGCTGTGGGGAGATGTCTATGCTGGGAGGCCTGGTAGGCAGCCGCACTTGAGAAACCCGACACACAGTGAGGTGCAGGGAGAGGGCCTGGGAGTGACATCTGCAGGCTTGTGCAGGGGCAGCCAGCAGAGGGTGGGAAGCTGGGGATGGGTGGGGGACCAAGGGGAGTAAGGGTCTGGGGTCACCCAGGGCCACGCTGAACTACAGGAGCCTTGGGAACCTGGGCAGCACATTCCAGGAGTTAGGGATGGGTGAGTGGGATAGGAAAGGCCAGGCTGGTGGGCCCAGCTCCTTCTGCAGGGCTGCCCGTTCCTGGGTGGGGCCCAGAACACAGCCTCCAGATACAGAATGGGCAGCTGTGTGGGTGGGAGTAGGCTCTGACCCCTGCCCATAGCAGAGGGCATCCCAAGGGGGCTCGATCCATGCCAGGGGTCCTGGCCTGTTGTCTTGGACCAAGGCCCTGACACCCCCACCCCTGCTTGGCTGTCACCCCTCAAGTGGGGACTGACAGTGCTGGACTAACTGGTGGACCCTTTCAAATGGCAGGCACCCAGCCGGCCCACCGTCCTCTAAGGAGCTGCTGACTGCTACCCTCATGCCCTCATGGACACCCTCTCAGGACCCTTCTTAGTGACTGGAAAAGCTTCAGGGTTGGGTGCTTCCTGACAAATAACACACTCAAGGCCAGCCGTACCCTGGTCAGTGTGCCTGCCCACTGGCCTCCCAGAGCAGAGCACAGCTGACCAGCTGGCTGGTGCCCAGGCTCTGAACTGATACCAGGGCTATCGGGGTGCCCCAGGAGCACAGAGGGTGCACGCTCACTCACACCCCCAGGCAACTGCAGTCCAGGCAGGAGCAGTGGGAGCCCCCCGAAGGGGTTCTGGTACCCAGGAGGAGCTGGTCCTTCTGGTCTGAGCGACCTTAGGAGGCAGGCAGCGTTGTTCACGCTCCACAGCCAAGCCCACATGCTGACCTGAGAGCCCAGGGGACAGACTGAGCAAGGGACCAGGCAGCCAGAGGAGGGAGAGCAGGCTCCTGGGGATCAGTGAGGTGGCAGAAGCTCCCAGAGAGCTTTCGGGGACAGGACAGAGATGAAATGGGTCAGCGGGCAGGGGCCACTGGCCCCTCAGGACAGAACTCAGGCAGTCCTCTGCGGTGACCATTGGGCTCCAGCCAGCTTCAGGAGACAGGCCCACCCAGCCCCTGTCCTCTAACTTGCTCTCCCAGCCCACCCCTCTCCTGTCCCACTGAGCCGGGGAGGGTGGCTGGGGGCTCCCTGCCCCTCCCCACTGTAGGAGCTCCGTGGAGACCTCCCTGGATGAGCAGCAGCGCCTGGCCCCCACCCAGGTCCTGCCACCCCCCAGGCTCCACCTTGAAGTCTCCCAGGCCACCGCCGTCCAGCAAGACCCTCCCCTTCAGGAAGACACGGAAACTTTGATCTCCCTCAGCTCCCAGGGGAGCTGACCTTCCTCTCACCTTGTCCAGGAGTCACCTGGGATCCCCACATTCCTAACTCACTGGGCCAATTAAGACAAGAGCAAGACGGAAGCTCAAGAGTCCCGGGCAAACTGCTCAGGTGAAGGGATTTCACTGGGTTTCGTTTTGGGGAGCATCTTTTTTCCCTTCTGATGTGGAAGCAAACATCACTCCAGGGCAGACTGCAAGGACCTTCCCGTCCAAGCACTGAAAAGCAGCAAGGAACCAAGCAGCCCCTGTGTCTACAAGTGCATTTGGGCAGATGTCAAGCTCAGACCTGTACCCAGAGGGCAGCTGAGTGCACAGACAGGCGCGGCCAGGACCATCCAGGGCGACACAGCCAGGGTGGGGGTCCAGAGGCTCAAGGCTCACTCTGTGGGACTACCAGCCACGTGCCACTGGGCTCCTGGGATCCCCACACCCTTCCCAGAGACGGGGAGGAAAGGCGAAGGTGAAGGCAGTTGGGCTCTGTCCCTCCTGCCCGGCAGGCTCCACAGGAGCATGGGGTGTGGGGTGCTGCAATGGTGGGATACGCGACCCATTAGGCCCCCAGCCACTTACCAATTTTGGCTAAGCTGGCCACGAGAATCCAGAGCGCGATGATGTACGGGTCCTGGACGTGATGCCATTTGAAGGTGACTACCTGGAATCCCTGGCTCGCGCTGCTTGGCTCCTCCTCGAAGCCCCTGACTCTTGGCAGTCCGCCCAGCGTCAGCACCAGCGCCAGCAGCGGTCCCCAGAAGGGGCCCGGGGACTCGCGCAGCCACATCACCGCGGCTCCTCAGTGCCGGGTTCTGATGCGCATATTGAGGTAAGTCCCTGCTGCGCTCCGCTCCGCCCGACGCGCGCTCTGGGGCAGCGGGCAGCGCACAGAGCTTCCGAGTGCTCTGGGTGCCGGCGCAGTCCGTCCCCGCCCGGGTGGCCTTTAATCCCACGGCCCCCTCCCGCCCCAGGGCGGGGCCTTCCCGCCCCCGCTGCTCACACGTGAGAGCTGACAGTCGCACGCTCGCGGCACGCCCGCCTGGCCTGTGCACGCCCATCGGGCAGCCGGACCCCCGCCCCAGGCCAGCGCGCCCGGTGCCGCCTGCTATGCTAGGAGCCCACCACCCGGAGGGCGCCTGAGAGTGGTCGTGCCAGGAAGGATGAACCCAGAGCCGGCCGCGAACCGGGCGGCCGCCTCCCTCCCTTCCCGGCCCAGCTGTGAGTCTTTGAGTGGGCGCTGGCCGGAATGGGCCACCTCCCCCACGGACTCTATCCGATGGGTGGGCCCAGCAGTTCTGAGGCCTAGAGCGCCCCTCTGCGGTGACCGTTGGGCTCCTGGCTGCTGTGACATTGGCAAGGCCTGGGACAGCACAGACCCTTAATGGAAGAGGTCCCTGACTGTGGGTCTCGCCTGGGACTCCGACCCACACTCCAGACAGGGCTGAACAACTTGTCAGGAACTAGGGCTCCGCTTCCTGACCTGCGAGGCTGATCTTTAGATCCCTTTGCCCCTGCCCTCCACACCCCCCTGGTCTCAGAGCTCAGAGGAGTATGAGCCACTCTGGCTTCCAGCAAGAGGACCTGATGTCCTTTATCTGCCCTTGACTCCCCAAGGACAGCACTGCAATCCAGGAGTGCGTCCTAGGCACCTCAGGCTCCCTCGGGCCTGGCAGAGCTCCACCTCCCCAAGTGTCCTCAAGTCTTATGGTTCGGATATAAAGCGACCCCCAAAGGCACATGTGCTGGAGACTTGGCTTCCAAAGCAAAAGCGTTGGCCAGGGAAGTGGTCGCGTCATGAAGGCTCTAACCTCCACGATGGATTCATAATTGACGTCGTTATTGAGAGGTGGTGGGAACTGCAGGAGGGAGGACCTCGTGAAAGGACTGGGCCCCTGGGGACATGTCCTTGGGGTCTGTGTTTGTCCCCAGACTCTCTCCCTCTACCTCCAGCTTCCAAGAAATGAGTCACTTTGCTCGCTGTGTTCTTCTACCCGGAAGTTCTTTCTGCCTCACCACAGGCCCAGAAACAGCTGAGCCAGCTGGTCATGGACTGGAGCCTCTGGAACTCCCTTTCTCCTCTACAATGTTGTCAGGTCCCCTGCCACAGGGATGAAGACCTGCCTAGCCACCAGGTACCCCACTGCCACAGCCACTCCTGGAGGTCCCTTCACCTGCCCCTTTTGGTCCCTTATGGGAATCCTCCAACTCAAAGGAAAAGCCCTAGTTCTCCCCAGATCCAGTGCCCTTATCTGTCCCTAGCTCTCAGTGATGTCCCCCCAGCTTCCCAGGTGGACCCTGCTCCTTCTCTGGGACCCCTACCTAGAAGGCTCCTCCCATGTGCTCCAAATGCTCACCCTTCAGCTCCCTGAGGTCTGGCTCCAAGGTCCCATTCCCAACCCATCAGTCCACAGTTGGGAGACTGTCCTCTTCCCTCTCCTCATCAGCTCAGCCCTCTTCCTGAAGTCCACCTGCTGGACTGCCAGTTGATGGGCCAACTGCTCCATGAAGTACCTGCCCAATGACAGGGGGCTTCAACTGCTCAGCTCTGCACCTGGGGCAATAAACAGTGCCTGGTGGTAGCAGTATCATGAAAGTCAGGTGCACAGATGGGTGGAGGGACATGGGTGGACAGAAGGCATGTGATGTCTTTTAGCATCTGAACACAAGTTGGGGCTCCCAAGAAGCCCAAGGAGGCCAGCACTGAGTTGGTTTTCCCATTTCCTGCTGCAGGGAGGAGGCCTAGGTAGCAGAGCGTGGATTCACATCCTGCTCAACTGGGTGGTTTGGCTGGGTGGCTAGGTGCCGTGTGGGGCAGGATCTGGCACGCAGCACTGGGGCACTGCGGTATGTGACTGGCCATGGGGATGTAGGAGTTGCTCATGTCCACTCCAAACCTGCTTGTTTCCAGCCTCATCCCAGTCCTGTCCAGAGAAAGACCCACTGGGTGAGAGCAGGCACAGCTCCAGCTCAGTCAGCCTCCCTACCCCTCCTTCATGGCTGCTGGGTGAACCTGGAGCAGGGGCATCCTCTTATATGCTCCTGTAGTCCGCAAGAAGGCCAGATTCCCACCAGAACAGCATGTGCCATGATGTCTGATATCACTCTGGTCGCCATGCCCTGGGGGGTTCACCCAACCCTGCCAGACCTAAGGGCCGCAGCTTGCCTCCTGTGAGCCCCAAGGCAGTTCAAAGGGCAGCAGAGCAGAGTGTTATTGTGTGGATGTGAGAATGCAGGTGAGCACTGATGGTGTTCCTGTCCATGGGAGGGAGTGCTGCCCACGGCACAGGCAGGCCACTTGAGACGAGTGGAAGGGATGCTCCATGAAGGGTGGGGAGACAGCAAGCCCCTGCTCCCACCCTCCGAGGTGGTGTGGCTGCTTGGCAGGGGTCTGGGGTACTTGGGATGCACCTGTTGCTGGGAGCCCCCCCCCCATGTGCTGCCCATGCCCCAGTGCCTGCAAAGGGTAAGAGAGCAAGGACACTTGCCTCACAGGTAAAAGTCAATCTGGGTGTGTATAGTGTTTTCACCCCCTCCATGGACTGAGGCCATGGGCGGGGTCTGTCCCCATTGCCTCTTATTCTCTAACCAGGCCATGATTTTAGGTAAGCTGTGTCCTGATGGGCAAGCTGTATGCACAGCGCCCCCTGGAGCTCAGCAGCACACCATGCCATCTAATGGCTGCCCCTGGTCCACCCTACACACTAGCTCCTGTGGTTCTCTTCCCACAGTGCAGGGGCCTTGCCCATGCACGAAAGTGAAGTGTTGAAACAATGCTGAAGAGCAGTCCAAAAAGAACTGAGATCTACCTAACTGGCACAAGCATCCAAGCTTTAAAGTCAATTGGGAGACATCTAGTCCCTCACATTAATTTCTGATTGAATTTCTTTTGCATGGTTTGTGAAAAACATCTTGTGAATAAAGAGGCAAATGGTTTGAAACCTAGTTATGCTTTTGTTAAGAATACTGAGATGAAAGTGAGTTTTCAGCATAACAAGTTTAAGGACATGCATTCACCCCTACGAGTTCACCTTTAGACCTGCAGTGGCCACAGGCCAGCTCTTCTCAGGGAGGGAAAGGCACAGATTTTATCACACTGGGCAGCTGTGATGGGTGCTCCCTTCTCCTGTTTATCTGAGCACCCACTGGGTGCCATTTGGACACTATTCCAAGCAACCTGACCCCCCACCCCCTGCCCCAGCTGCTCTTCCCACAGCCATATCTCCATCAAGGACAGATTTGTTGTTTCTTATTTAATGGCTGCAATATAACTGCATTTCTCAGAAACAAATTATTCCCATCAGCGTACCTCTGCCTATCGGCATTGCTTGAGACCCAGGTTGGACAGGAAGGGGCTGGGAGCTGCCTTGTGGTTCAGCGGGCACTCACGTGGGCGGGGGTCTCATTACCTAAACCTGCCTCCAACGTTCCTACCTCTCCCACGGTGAGTGGGTACCACCTTGGGGACGCACGGTTTGGCCCCAGATTCCAGGAATCGGTGGAGTGGGCTGGGGGCGTCGGAGTCAGACCCCAGCACCCTGGCTGCTGCCGTGTAACTGGGTCTGGGGTCTGCGCAGCTAGTTGGGGACGGCCTCTCGGCAGCAATAATGTGGGCGCTCCAGGCGACTCGCCCCGCGCCGGATCGCGGCTTGGTGAGCAGGACGCCTGGATCAAGTCCTCCAGGTGGGGC